TCCAGATTGTATAGGTTTAGGTGTAAGTTATTACTCATAAAATCCATTTCCACTGGAACTCTATGACCTCAATCAGTGGAGTGGTAAAAAGTTGTCCTCTTATACATTATGGGTAACTATAAGACAACATACAAGCATATCAATAAAGCCATCTCCTTGTGGGCCCTACCATCTTCATCAGATTTAGACACTTAAAAAAACAAGTAAATATGCACTTTTAAAATGCAATCAAAAGATTGGTGGTAAGCTTTGAAAACCAGAACATCTTTTGGCATTCCGCTAAGTGTATATTGTAAATTTAAGGAACAATCAAGGTTCACGATAGGAAGTTGTCTTTTTATGCCTTCATTTCTATGAGATTGACAGATGGTGACAATAAGAAAATGAGCTGATTATAATTGCTCTCTATGTGTGTTTTTGTTTTTTGTTTTTTTTTGCTAGCTATCATTACTAGTTAGAATTATTAATTAGAATTAACAATAATTTTAGGCATGGAATGTTATGATTACCTAAAGAGATGTCTCTACCTTCCGGGCTCAAGCGATCCTCCCACCTCTGCCTACTAAGTAGCCAGAACTACAGGCAAGCACACCACCACGTCCGGCTACGTTTTTTTTGGGTAGGGGTTGTTTGTTTGTGTTTAACAGGCAGGGAGGGTCTCACTATATCGCCCAAGCTAGAAGAATTTTCTAATACTTTTTACACCTCCCATTTTGGCAAGTAAATTGAGAATGACTTTAGGTTTTTCTATTATTCAGTAGCTTTGCAGACTTAAAAGTGTAAATTTAGAATTAGAAGATGAAGCTATAATAGTAAGAATCTCAAGTTGAAGGGCTTTGGGTTGCCAAAGCAGCATAATAGAGCATAGGCTTGAACTTGATTCTTTCACAACATTGTGAGAATTATGTGGAATGTGTTAAATGCCTACTACAGTAGGCTCTCGGATATTTATTTTATTTTTTTATTATGCATATAGTTTTTCCTGCCTTTTTATGGCTGTCTGAAGTCTAGGGAAAAGGGAAGACTGGTTAATGATGAGTAGAAAAAGCTTGTAAGCTAATCATTCACTGACTTATTTTCCTTCCACCTTTTTTTTTTTAAATTAGCCACACCACACAAAACCCACATTTTTGGACAGAAACAGCAAAAAAATTGTTTCAGTGCTCTTATTTTCACCTTAATGGTATAGTGAAAAGACACTGGCTTGCAGATGATACTAAGGAAGCTTTGGCTCACTCTCACTTGAAAGTGGGATCTTGGTGTTTTCGTACTTGGATTGTACAAATCTTGTACTGACTTTTCTTACTGCTGAAAAGGAATCAGGCAGTTGTGTATTGATATGTTATTTGGTGCTCTCATTCATGGCAAAGGATTTGATAAATGAATAAAGATTCTTAAAACACTAAACAAAATCAAATGGGCAGAACTAAAGATGAAATGTAATATTCATCAGAACAAGGATCACTGAGAAAAATATTCAGAAACAACTTTAATAAAACCCGAATTGAAATAACCGCAGTTCAGCTGTTTAGAGTCTTTGTCTGCCTATTCATATTGTACATGGAATGTTATGGGTACTTCATGACTGCTGACCTGCCTCGTTGATGCTCTGGAAAGGTATGCCAAGATCTCACAGCAGCACAGCCACGTGGACGCAGAGTGGGCTTTCCACACCCTGCCTCAGTGTTGAAGTCTTGTGTGTTTTCTTACTCCTTGACTTGCCTCTTTCTGATTCCTATGTATTTCTTAAATCTGAATTCCTATTTAGTGGAGATGGGGTCTCACCACGTTGGCCAGGCTAGTCTCAAAACTCCTGACCTCAGGTGATCCACCTGCCTCTGCCTCCCAAAGTACTGGCATCACAGGCTTGAGCCACTGCCTCTGGTCCCGTTTCTGCCTTCCTTTCTAGCATTGACTTGTTTTCTTGGGTTTGCTTCTTGGTTCTAGGTGTCTTATTTCCTTCGACTACTGCACTTGTACTGCTGGATTACTGACTATTCTCACCAGATTACAGACACTTGGCCTTGTTCTGACCTTCAGCTTCCCCATGTTCATCCTACCTTCCGACTGCCTGGCCTCGTCTTTACCTCTGCTTCTCAGCTAGCTTCCATGTACCTAGACTCATGGCTGAATGGCCCTCTGCTGGGCCAGCCTTTCCTGGGATTTGGTCTTGCATTTTCATTGTCTTTCCAATCCTGTCTGTATACTGTAGCTCCATAAACCATTTTTCCCACATTCCCAGTGCTAGTCAATGAGTATATTATTCCTATCCACTCAGATGTTGCCCATGCTTTCAAGTTCACCGTAGTGGTTTTAAAACGGCTCCAGAATTCCTTGATGCCTTTATTGAGGAGTAGGGCCTATGTCCATTCTTAAGTCTCCTTGGAGCTTTGTGATTGCTTGACCAACAGAATACAGTGGAAGTAACACTGCCATTTTCTGGATGCAAACCTTAAAAAACTGGTATCCCCACTTCCTGTCTTGGGATGCTTACCCTTGGAACCTTACCATCATGCCAAGAGCAAGCTGGAGTAGCCTGTGGAATAGAACTGAGGGCCCTGGTTGAGCTTTCAGCTGAGCCGGCATTATCTTGCCAGCCAGCCAGTAAGCTATCTTGAAGGTGGATCTTCCCATACCCAGTGGAGCAGCTCCAAATGATACCACATGGAACAGATGAGCTGATCTTACTGAGTCCTGCCTAAGGTGCAGTGTGAGCAAAATAAATGACTGTTACTTTAAGCCACTAAATTTTTAATGGTTTGTTACACAACAGCAGATAAAACGATAGTCTCCCCACTGCATTCCCAGTCTGGCACTCTGCCACAAGAATCGTGCCTACCTGCTTTTTCCCTTATCAGCTCTTTTGAATTTCTCTCACGATGATGAGCACACACTCTGTCAATGGGCTGGTAGGGTTAGAAGGGCTTCCTAACAGAAGAAAACAGCTCTAGATTCAAGAATTACAAAGGACCCTAAAATTACAAGCATAGTCAAGAAGATGAATTTGAACACTTAACATGATTTACCCTACAAAAAAATGACAATCAGAGTACATCAGTACATAAGAGAACTTGGCACACAATGCTCCATGAATGCTTGTTTTAAAAGCTGTTTAATGCAGGCATCCCCAAACTTTTTACACAGGGGGCCAGTTCACTGTCCCTCAGACTGCTGGAGGGCCGCCACATACTGTGCTCCTCTCACTGACCACCAATGAAAGAGGTGCCCCTTCCTGAAGTGCGGTGGGGGGCCGGATTCGGCCCACGGGCCGTAGTTTGGGGACGCCTGAAGGGAGTATGTGGAATCTTTTTGAGGGAGCTGCTGTCATCCAGAAAGATCTGGGAGCCGAGGCACCGGCCATGTCAGCCTTCATCCTGGCTTTCCGGTCACCCCAGAGAGGCCACTCTGAACAGCACAGGCTTCCCAGCCCCAGGGGCACTGTACTGCCCTGTGCCTGGACCACCTCCACCGGCCTGCCCACCTCCCACCTGGAAATGAACTTAAAAGGTGTTGCATCCTGACAGTGCCAAAAGAAAATTTTAAGATTATGACAAATGCATGACTATTCATCTACCAGTTTACCAGTAGTAATCCAGTTTGGCCCAAGTAAATTAAGTCTCAGTGCTGACTTAGAACCCCAGCTATAAGCTCTTTCACCATTCTCTGAATCCCTTCAGGTTTTTGTTTGTTTCTGTTTTGTTTTGTTTTTTTGAGTAGGAGTCTCACTGTGTTGCCCGGGCCAGAGTGCAGAGGCCCTATCTCAGCTCACTGCAATCTCCACCTCCCGGGTTCAAGCGATTCTCCCGCCCCAGCTTCCTGGGTAGCTGAGATTATAGATGCCCACCACGATGCCCAGCTAATTTTTGCATTTTAGTTGTGATGGAGTTTCAGCACGTTGGCCAGGCTAGTCTCAAACTCCTGACCTCAAGTGATCTCCCAAAGTACTGGGATTACAGTCGTGAGCCACTGCGCCCGGCCCAGTTTATTATTTTAGCCATAATCTGACTGAGTAAATACGGATTGTATTTATTTTTATATATTTATTTTTAGAGGCGGGGTCTCTGTCACTCAAGGCTGGAGTGCAGTGGCACGATCATAGCCCACCGTAACCTCAAGCTCCTGGTCTCAAGCCTCCCACCCCTGCCTCCTGAATAGCTAGGACTACAGGGTGTGCACCACCACTCCTGACGAATTTTTTTTTTTTTTAGAAAGCGGGTCTCTGAGTCTCACTATGTTGCCCAGGCTGGTCTCAAACCCCTGGCCTAAGCGATCCCCCTGCCTGACCCTCCACAATGCTGGGATTACAGGCTTGAGCCACCCCCAGCCTCCGGATTTTCTTTATTCTGAAACCCATCCCTAATTTTATTTTCTGCCAGAGGAAATCCGTTTTTCACAGCATGATAAACTAGCAAGTCTGAAATAGCAACTATATAAAAACTGCGAACACATAAATAACAGCCATCACGAAAGCATAGGGCTTATGTCAGCATATGAATAGGTTAGCGCCTTCCCACCCTGGCCACATGCTTGGTCAGCAATTTCCAGCACTTGCAGACACTGCAAAGGGCTTCACACCTCTTATCTTACAAGATGGTTACAACCACCTAGAAAGGTGGAGCAGGACTCTTCGTCTCTGTTACAAAAGAGGAAACAGTGAGACACAGAGAAGACAGAGTCAATAACGCAGAGGCTGGACATAACTGAGGTCTTCAAAGCTTCAGTTCTGCCTCTTTCACCCTTAAGCCGCAGCTGGGCCCTGGTCCTGATGCTGAGGTCCCGAGGCGCGCACACCTGCGCCGGGCAGGGATGCACCAGCCAATGAGGAGCCCGCACGCAGGGGGCGGGACGGGAAAGCTGCCAATGAGAGAGCCGACCCCGAGAGACACGGAGCTAATGAAGGCCTCGTGCTGGAGAGGGACGGCTGTTCGTCCAATGCGGGGCTGGGTCCGGCGCGGCAGGAAGGCGGGACTGCCAGTGGGGCGCCGGGGCGGGGCGGAGAGCCGAGCGCCAACCCGCGAGCAGCCGAACCCGGCGTGCTGCCCTCTCGCCGCCCGCCATGGCCCGCGCAGCCCCGCTGCTCGCCGCGCTAACCGCGCTTCTCGCCGCCGCCGCTGCTGGCGGAGATGCTCCGCCGGGCAAAATCGGTGCGGGAAGGACGCGATGGGGTTCCCAGCTGGGGAGGGCCGGCGAGTAAAGGGTTCTCGGCTCTCAGCTAGGTGGGGGTAGAGGAGGGCAGCTGGGTGAGGGAGGGGTCCTCGGGAGAGGAGGTGGGTGGAGGAGAGGGCGGAAGGGGACGCGGCAGGGAAGGTCCTGATGGGGCTGGGGCGTGGCAGGTGAAGAGGGCCACCGGGGACGGAAAAGAGGCCTGAGCAGGACTGGTCACGGATCTCACCGGGAGGTCCAGGATCACTGAGCATCTGCCGTGAACCTGGCTGTTTTCAAGGCGCCGGGTGACGGAAGACAGAGAGGCTGGGCGATGTCATTCACGGAGGTTGGTTGAGGGCTGTCTGTGTAGCAGATGTGGTGCTCTAGTTCCTGCTGTGGGAAGAGCCCTCACAGTACAGGGAAGCCCGTGCTCAGCTGAGAAAGCACAGTGCATGCAGAGGAAGGGCGCTTCATCTCTCTTTGCGGCCCCACGAGGGCTTCTTGGAAGTAACATCTAAGCCAAACCCCCACCCCAGGTCGATAGGAGACAGTCCCGGCAGAGACAGAACACTAGGTCTGCTGGAGATTTGCTGACAGAACAGGGAACTTTTAACAACAGTCATGCTGTTCATTGTGTGTGTGGTTTCTCCAATACTTTATTTTGAAAATGTTCCCATGTACAGCAAGAATTTTATAGTGGTCATCTGTATACCCACCACCTACATTCTGCCATTAACTGCTACTATACTTGCTATGTCACGTAACTATCACTCACCCTTCTAGACATCCACGAATCCATCCTGCATTTTGATGCATCTCCAAATAAATTGCAGACATCAGAACACTTCACTAAATACTTCATCGTGCATATCATTGACTAGAGTTCCATATGTGTTTACAGTAGCTTTTTTTCCCTTCCCTCAACAATTGTCTTTTTAACTACATGACTCGTGGAGATTTTCAAGTCCCTGGCACATAATATTCGCACAGGCAGAGATGCTGGGCTTCGGGGTGGGAGGACAAAGGCCCTACTCCACTATGCTACCCTCCATGCGCCCCAGTTGGCAGGAGTGCCTGGAACATCTCATAGAAGCACCGCAAACTTACAGGGTCTAGAACCGCAACCCAGGCCATACAGGGTTAAGACAGACTGAAGCATGCCAGGAAACAGTTTGAGACTGAGAATTTAGAGCTTTCCATGGAAAGAGAATCCTGAGGCTAGAGTAGGCAGAGAAGCCCTCATGGAGAGAAGGTGGCGTTTGAGCCAGGCTTTGAAGGATGTGGAAGAGTTAGGCAGGCAGTATCCATGAGTGACCATGTGTTCTCTCTCTGCCCTTAAATTATTTGAATACAGTGTGGTTAGGGGTAAGCGGAGTGTATTGTGGGAATATGCAGGGCACTCCCCTTTCTCTTTGGAACAGGCAACAGGACAGGACATTTCTCACCATTGGGGAAGGGATAGGACCTCCAGCCAGCAGAATTGCTGCGTTGTGGCAACATGGAGCATTCTGCCTGCCTCCTTTCAGCTGACCCTTCTGGCCCCACCCAAGAATCATCCAGGGCAGGACACTTGGCAATGCCACGCTGCCCTTTAGCTTTCTAGATTTTCCTCAGCCCTCTCACAGGAGCCTCTGTCCGCCCTTGGTGGTTTGGACTCTACCCACAAGAATGCATACCTTCCTGTTAGGATGGCTTAATCCTTGTGCTCCTGCAGGATCAAATCTGCCATGTGGCATCAGGACCCTCTAAACCCACCCATATAGTTCCATATGCTGCCCTTCTCATGCTGGTCTCTGCAGAGCATGCATGCCCTCTCGCTGACAAAACTGATTGTCCTCCAGCGTCTTGCATGAAATCTTATTTCCCTGAGAAGCCTGTGTCCCCACCTCGGGGACAGAATTCACTGCTTTCTCCAGGACTCCCTGGTACCCTGTTGTACCTCATCACGGTTCGTTGTAGCTAATTGTGCAGGAGTCTGTCTGCCCACTCCGTGCCGGCCTCCTGGGGGACAGAAGCCTATTTGATTTATCTTTGTCCCCGAGGACATCTTACTGTAAATTAGAGAGTGAGTGTCAGTTGTGTTAAATGAGCTGGTTCACAATGAAATGGTGTCTTCTGCTTCCTGATCTTGGGCAGCTCCTAGGCCTTAATATCAGTTTCTCTGGAGAAGTTGGTAATTTGGGACTCTTTGCACATGGTGGGGACGGGAGCACAGTGGTTAAAATAAAAAGGTTATGTGCTGCCTTGGAAGTGGCTTTGTAAGTACTAAGAGGAAGTGGTTTATTCTTTCAACACAGAAAAAATACTTCATGAACTCTACTGTCTGCCAGGATCTGGGGGCATAGTGGCCATCCGCTCTCTCTCTGTACTTAAATAACTTGAATACAGTGTGGCTAGGGGTAAGCAGAGTGTGCCGTGGGGAATGCACAGGAGGAACACCTGACTCACCTCAGGTGGGTCAGTCAAGCCAAGCTATAGGTGACATCTGAGTGCTGTTAAAGCCAGTGAGACACAGGGTGACGGTACTCCTATCAAAGGGAACAGCTTGGGCAAAGGCCCAGGCATAAGACAAAAGCTGTACGACCACAATAAGAGAAGCCTAGACAGACAAGAAGGTGGCATCTTGGAAGGGTAGGCCAGGAAGTGGAGTAAGTAAACGGAGGCCAGATCATAGAGAACCTGGTGCTATCTGAGGATTGCCTGTCACTTCCTGGCAGCAGCTGGTACTCTGGGTCCCAGTGGGTCCAGTAAGGATAAATTACAATAGGTTTATTCCATTTTCTTTTTGGATAAGGCCTCTGGACTGTCTGATGAGAAGAAAGTAGTGTTTCAGATACAGATACATGATGGGGAAAAATTATAGGTAGAGTGGTAGTCCAATTCAGTAGCTTCATAGCTGTTTACAGTTCTCACAGGACTGTTTAATGATTAGTGTCAGGCCAGGCACAGTGGCTCCTGCCTGTTTCACTGTGTTGTTCAGGCTGGTCTCGAACTCCCGACCTCAGGTGATCCACCTGCCTCTGCTTCCCAAAGTGCTGAGATTACAGGCGTGAGCCACCGCGCCCGGTGGGTACATTCCAGTCTTGACAAACACAGACAGAGATGATTTAAGTGTCCGGTGTAGGTTGGACTAGACCAGGGGTTGGCATACTTTTCCCGTAAATGATCAGAGAGTAAATACTTTAGGCTTTTCAGGTCATGCAGTCTCTGTTGCAGCTACTTAACTCTACCTAAAATGAAAACAGTCATAGACAATAAATAAAAGAAAGGGCGTCATGGCTGTGTTTCAATAAAACTTTTGTTTGCAAAAACAGGCATCTGCCCAGATTTGGCCTGCAGGCTGTAGTTTGCCAATCCCTGGATTAAGGAGTGGTTTCCAAACACTGATCACTGAGCAGAACTGGTCAGTAACTTTTTACCAATTCATAGTGAAATAAGAAAACTAGAAGCAAAGTAGTGAGTTTGTATAAAACTAAATTTATTCTCTTTAAATGGTCATCTGACTTTCAATAATCGTTTTTTGTTGTTGTTTTTTTTTTTAGAGACGGGGTTTCACCATGTTAGCCAGGATGGTCTTGATCTCCTGACCTGGTGATCCGCCCACCTCAGCATCCCAAAGTGCTGAGATTACAGGCGTGAGCCACCATGCCCGGCTGACTTTCAATGTTCTTTGCCCATCTTTTGCTGCTGAAATGCCTTTTTCTTTATGAAATGCGGGTTATAGTAAATGTTAGTTTTCAGGTTTGCCTTTGCTTCTTATTAATAGCTCCACTGACCGTCTGTAAATTTCCTTTTGGAAATGTTATAAGCCTGCAACATTTAAGCACCTGGGAACCACCAGCGCAGGAGGTTGCAAAGGGTGGGCCCCAGCGTCTCACTCTCCTGTTCTGTCTCTCTGCTTCCCTGCCTCCTGGGCCTGCTGACAGCCGTGGTTGGGGCCGGGATTGGGGGCTCTGCTGTGGCCCATTTCCTCCAGCAGCACTTTGGACCTCGGGTGCAGATCGACGTGTATGAGAAGGGAACCGTGGGTGGCCGCCTGGCCACCATCTCCGTCAACAAGCAGCACTACGAGAGTGGGGCCGCCTCCTTCCACTCCCTGAGCCTGCACATGCAGGACTTCGTCAAGCTGCTGGGTGAGTGGTCAGTCCTGGGGCTCCAGTGCCCAGCGCCCTGGGGCTGGTGACAGCATTGGGCCCCTTCTCAAACTTCCCAGACCATCAAGGCCTGAAGGTGATGTGGCCCAATCTCCTCGTTTTACAGATGCAGCAGCAGAGACAAGAGAGGGGAAGGAACTTGCCTGAGGTTACACAGTGAGTTAGTTGCAGAGCCGGGATTAGAACTCAGGTTTGACTCCTAGGCCAGTTTCTTGCCCTTTCAATTTGCTGCCTCTAAATAATCGTGATCATATCACCTTCCACATGCTTGTGCTTGCCAGACACCCAACATTCTTCTGGGTGGTATGTAGGCATCACCTCAGATCCTCCCTACCAACCTGCAAGATGAGTGTTAGATCTCCTCTTAAGGAAACTGAGGCTCAGATAATGTATAGATCTCAGCTAAAGCCATTACAGCAAGAGAGCTGGCATTGAAACCCAGCAGCATCTGTCAAATACACCTTCTGTTTCATGCAGAAACTCCACTTCTCAGAAGTGATGCTGCAGGTGGTCTTACAGATGTGCAGAGTAGCATAGATACCAAGTTATTCATTACGGCATTGTTTATAATAGCAAAAGGCTGAGCGTATCCTATCTGCCTATCCGCTAGGACCTGGGTTTAAACAAATTATTGTCTAACTACACAATAGGCTGTTCAGCAGTCAGAATGGGGAAGTTTTTATGCCTAGATACAGGACAATCTCCGAGATAAAGTATATTGTTAAGGTGGAGAGCAGATTGGAACCATCGATGGTTCCAGTCCATGCTATTGAGATTACATGAGTGACAGAGGGACAAGACATGAGCCTGGGGGTGAGTGGGAGCCCTGTCAGATCAAGCCAGAGGAGAAGACAGGCTGGACTGGCAGAGATGGTGACCGTATCGGCATGAAGTTGCAATGTGCCACGTGAGGTTTGTGGGGGTGGGGAAGGAACAAGTCATAGTAGCTGTATCTGTATTTAGGAATCCACTGCTCTGTAAGTTGTAGCATGCAGGATGGCTGTAAGAAGCTAGGATAACCTCCATGTGATCTCAGTGCCCAAGGCCACCATCTCTGAACAAGCCCAGTGGCTCTCAGCCCCTGGACATTCTGGGCATAAAATCTGAGTTTCCCTCCCTTGTGGATCCTGTTGGGAAAAAAAAAAATGTAAAATGTTACATTATTTTCATTTTCATTCATTTATCGACTAGGTAGTCGAGCCATTTTCCCAGTGCACCTGTTCACTGTTTATAAACGAGCGGCACAAATGAACAAACCACAGTGTGGGTGTTTCCTTTGATGGAGCCAGTCCATTTGCATCAAGAAGGCTCCAAGTCTTGGAGGGGACCTGAGGGGCTCCTCTTTGTCTCTGCAGGGCTGAGGCACCGCCGTGAGGTGGTGGGCAGGAGCGCCATCTTCGGCGGGGAGCACTTTGTGCTGGAGGAGACCGACTGGTACCTGCTGAACCTCTTCCGCCTCTGGTGGCACTATGGCATCAGCTTCCTGAGGCTGCAGATGTGGGTGGAGGAGGTCATGGAGAAGTTCATGAGGTAGGGCTGGTGGAGCTGTGGGGATGGCATTCCCGGGGGTACCAAGAAGAGGTGGGGGAGGAACCAGCTCGACTATACTTTGTGAAAAAGGAAAAGGTCTTTGCTGGGCCAGCACAATTCAATGCAGGCTCAGAGCAAGCCCTGGCATGAGGAGTGGCCATAGTTGGCCCAGTAATGGTCTCTCTAGTATTGTCACACTGGCACTCATTTTCTTACCCTCCCTCTGCTACACTTAATAAAAGCATGGGTTGCAACCTCAGTCACTTAACAAGGGCTGAATTGGGATGTGAGTCAGTGAATCAGCAGGTAGAAGAGAGCAGAACCAGGCCCCCTCTGAAGGAGGCAGGCAGCCCTCCGCCGCAGCCATCTACAGCCAGCTGCGTACAAGGCCCACTTCATGTGGCTAGATCTCCTCACTGTTCAGAACAAGCTAGAATCCAGAGTCGTGTGTGAAATCTTTCAGTGTTTCCACGTTGGCAGCCATTTCAGTCCACGGGCTGCATTTGCGAACTGTGTTGTCCCCACTTTTCCATCTAGAATAAACACTTTTCTTCACCACTCCTCTTATCCTTGGCCTCCAGCCCCCTCCCCATCACCTTTGGTCCCATATGTGGAGGGCAGGTGTTCCCTTCTCTCCCTGTTCACTCACTCACCAAGCTGTCACTCCGCCTTTCCTCAAAGTCCTTCCCGAAGGTGCTCACTGCTTCCAGCCCCAGGTGCAGGTGCTGTTCCTCAGACCCCATCGCTGTCTGCCTCCCTTCAGTGTCAGACACTTAAGTGTGGCCTGTGCCCTCCTTCCCTGGTTCCTGACACTTCTCCACTCCCTTCCCATTCTATAACTCTGCTGTTTATAGCCCTTCTTTCTAATATTCTCCAGATGTCACCCAAAGCTTATTTCCTTACCGCTCTTCTTTCTGATATTTTTCTCCCTTGTCAATTTTATCCAGATCAATAATGTTGACTTCTACCTTTTATGGGAGATGACTTCTCCCTGTCAACTCTAGTTTCCTCTTCAGTTACAGACTCACATTTCTCCTTTGTAGACACCTCCCTGTGGTGTCCTATTGATAACCAAACTCAACATGTTTTTAAAAGTGGCCCTAGGCCGGGCGCGGTGGCTCACGCCTGTAATCCCAGCACTTTGGGAGGCCAGGGCGGGTGGATCACAAGATCAAGAGATCGAGACCATCCTGGTCAATATGGTGAAACCCCGTCTCTACTAAAAATACAAAAAATTAGCTGGGCATGGTGGCACATGCCTGTAATCCGAGCTACTCAGGAGGCTGAGGCAGGAGAATTGCCTGAACCCAGGAGGCGGAGGTTGCGGTGAGCCGAGGTCATGCCATTGCACTCCAGCCTGGGTAACAAGAGCGAAACTCCGTCTAAAAAAAAAAAAAAAAAGTGGCCCTAGAATGGGCAGCATTTCAAAGGCCCGCCAGTCAGGAAATCCATCGATGTTTCTAATCCATGCTAATGAGATTAATGAGATTACATGAGTGACGGAGGGACAAGACATGAGCCTGGGGGTGAGTGGGAGCCCTGTCAGATCAAGCCAGAGGAGAGGACAGGCTGGACTGGCAGAGACGGTGACAATATCAGCATGAAGTTGCAACATGCCATCGAGTCCTAGAAGCTGTGGCAGAGCCGACACTACTGGAGTGGGGATGTGCCAGCAGGAGTGGGCCATAGCCCACTGCCTGGCACTCCCAGCTTAGTGAAGAAAGGGTTCTGAACTATGACCTCAGGCAGGGAGTAGCTCAGAGAGGTGATACAGTTGTTATTCGGCACAGCCGTGATGTGAAGATTCCATACTTCCACACTCCCTTTAGGTGGGATAGGCCCACCACAGGCAGTGAACAGGCCCCAGGGAACATAACCAGCCTCCTCTCCCACCGCTCCATGTAGAGGAAGTGATGGGTTCCTGCTGGGCCTCCCGGGCACTATGACCCAGGGGCAGGTGGTCAGGCAAAAAGCCTTCCTCCACAAGGACTCCAGCTCTATGTGTCTTCTAGGATCTATAAGTACCAGGCCCACGGCTATGCCTTCTCGGGTGTGGAGGAGCTGCTCTACTCACTGGGAGAGGCCACCTTTGTCAACATGACCCAGCACTCTGTTGCCGAGTCCCTGCTGCAGGTGGGCGTCACACAGCGCTTTATTGATGACGTCGTCTCTGCTGTCCTGCGGGCCAGCTATGGCCAGTCAGCAGCGATGCCTGCCTTTGCAGGTGAGCATCCAGCCCTTGACCTGCCCGCCTGCCCCTCTTCTGCCCAGGGTGCTCATAATGGGCTGGAGGTCTCCATGATAACCTCCCCTTTATCCAGCTCATTACAGTCACCTAGGCACTCTGCTCCCCCATCCTGTTTGATTCTGGCACTGGCTGTGAGTTGGCAGGAGACAGTATCACCCCACTTCACAGACAGTGAAAGCAAAGCTCAGATCACAAGTCCAGTGTGTTTCTACCACTCCCAGTTGCCTCATCATCCCTTGCATGTGTGTAAGTGTTAGAGCTAAGATGATGGTCTGCTCACTTCTCTTTGGTTTCAAGAATTACCGTTGAGGCCTTCGAGCCACTGTTAGAGCACCTCCTCTTCCCAGCTCCTGACGGGGGTGGCTCGGCCTGTGTATAGCTCACTCTCTGCTGGCACAGACCACAAGAGTGGAGAAGGTAGGCTTCACAAGAGCAGGAATCCTTGCCTATTGTTCACTGATAACATCCCAAACACAGAACTCAAGTTGTTTTAAAAAAGAATAGGTTTTGCCTAATGAAGACAAAAAAAAAGAAGAATAGGGACTATATTTGTTTCCTAGGGCTGCCATAACAAAGTAACACAAACTGGGTTGGTTAAACACCAGAAATTTATTGTCTCACAGTTCTAGAGGATAGAAGTATGAGGTGAAGGTGTTGGCAAAGTCGGTTCTTTCCGAGGGCTGTGAAAAAAAATCTGTTCCATGCGTCTTGTGTCGTTTCTGGTGATTTCCTGGAAATGTTTGGCATTCCTGGCCTGTAGCCGCGTCACGCTGATCACCGTCTTCATCTTCACTTAGCATTCGCTCTGTGCGTACGTCAGTCTCTGTGCCTAAATTTCCTTCTTATAAAGATGCCAGTCACACTGGATTAGGCTCTATCTACCCTGATGACCCTATCTTAACTAATTTCCAAATAAAGCTTACAGTCACAGGTACTAGGGATAATGTTTTCAACACCTCTGGCAGGGGGACATAATTTAATCCATAACATACTAGGCATTCAGTATATTTTTGTTAAATAAATGAATGAAAAGATTTACAATAGCAAGCACCTCCCTGGTACCCTCGATACTATTCATCTGGCTCTGCACATGCTGGCTCCTTCTCAGCCTTCAGGCCCTGCCTCAGTGTTCCCTCAGTGTGACCTCGCTGCTCACTTTTTCGGTATCTTGTGTGTCTCCTTGTAGCATTTTTGTATAGAGATATATAGAATTCACATACCGTGTAATTCACCCATCTAAAGTGTATAGTCAGTGGTTTTTAGCACATTGGGAGTTCTGAAACCATCACCACAATCAATTTTAGGACATTTTTATCACCCCAAAAAGAATCCCCTTGCCCTTTAGCCCTCATGTCCCCAGCACCCCCCAGCCTGCGCAACCACAAATCTGCTCTCTGTTTCTGTGGATTGCCGTCTGGGCATTCTGCATAAAACAGACCTCACAATACGTGGTCTCCGGGAGCTGGCTCTTTCACTGAGCACAGTTCTTCCCCCCAAAGCACTGTGTACTTTGTTGTACTTATTTGTATGTTTGCCGTCTCCCATGCCCAGGGTTGGGAGAGTTTTGCCCAGTCGAATAGTACTGGACTCCCCAGCCCTACTGCCCCACGGCCCTGACAACCTCTCAGCAGCCCTTTCCCACTTTGCCCAGGAGCCATGTCACTAGCCGGGGCCCAAGGCAGCCTGTGGTCTGTGGAAGGAGGCAATAAGCTGGTTTGTTCCGGTTTGCTGAAGCTCACCAAGGCCAATGTGATCCATGCCGCAGTGACCTCTGTGACCCTGCACAGCACAGGTGCGTAGACAGAGCAGGAGTGGGCACGCATGCCAATTCCCGGCGACTGGACACTCCTGCCTCCTTTGTACCTCAGCCCTGGTCGGTGATTCCCTTGGGGAGTAGTACAGAAAAGCATTGAGAATCCCCAGCCCTGCCAGTGACACTAGAGGGTGCTGTTTTCCAAAAAGCTGAGACTTGCGTCAACCCAGCCTTTTTCTGTTGACTCATGAGGACTTTGAATGACAGCCTTGCCCAAGATCCCCAGCTGGTCTGCAGTGGAGGCAGAGCAGAAACAGTCTCCGGACTACAGGTCCCTTGCTTCCTCTGCAGCCACACCTGCGTGGAGAGAACAGGACCCACCATCTAGGCAGCCCCGCTGCACCCTGGGCACCAGGGTCTTGTACCCTCAATGCTGGGCCCCAGTGGGGAGTTCAGTGGGTAGAAGCCAAGGGAACGTTGACTTTTTTTTTTTTTTTTGACAGTCTCCCTCTGTCGCCCAGGCTGGAGTGTAGTGGTGCAATCTCGGCTCATTGCAACCTCCACCTCCCAAGTTGAAGCAATTCTTCTGCCACAGCCTCCCAAGTATCTGGGACTACAGGCACCCACCACCACTCCAGGCTAATTTTGTATTTTTAATAGGGATAGGAGTTTTCCATGTTGGTCAGGCTGGTCTTGAACTCCTGACCTCAGGTAATCCACCCGCCGTGGCCTCCCCAAGTACTGGGAATACAGGCGTCAGCCACTACACCCAGCTGGGGAAAGTTTACTTTGTGCTCTTTTCTTTCCAGAGGGGAAAGCCCTGTACCAGGTGGCCTATGAGAATGAGGTAGGCAGCAGCTCTGACTTCTATGACATTGTGGTCATCGCCACCCCCCTGCACCTGGACAACAGCAGCAGCAACTTAACCTTTGAAGGCTTCCACCCGCCCATTGATGACGTGCAGGGCTCTTTCCAGCCCACCGTTGTCTCCTTGGTCCATGGCTACCTCAACTCTTCCTACTTCGGTTTCCCAGACCCTAAGCTTTTCCCCTTTGCCAACATCCTTACCACAGATTTCCCCAGCTTCTTCTGCACTCTGGACAACATCTGCCCTGTCAACATTTCTACCAGCTTCCGGCGAAAGCAGCCCCAGGAGGCAGCTGTTTGGCGAGTCCAGTCCCCCAAGCCCCTCTTTCGAACCCAGCTGAAGACCCTCTTCCGTTCCTATTACTCGGTGCAGATAGCTGAGTGGCAAGCCCATCCCCTCTATGGCTCCCGCCCCACGCTCCCAAGGTTTGCACTCCATGACCAGCTCTTCTACCTCAATGCCCTGGAGTGGGCAGCCAGCTCCGTGGAGGTGATGGCCGTGGCTGCCAAGAATGTGGCCTTGCTGGCTTACAACCGCTGGTACCAGGACCTAGATAAGATTGATCAAAAAGATTTGATGCACAAGGTCAAGACTGAACTGTGAGGGCTCCAGGGAAAGCCTAGGAACTTTCAGCCCCCCCTGAAGATGGATCACGCCCCACAGCAGCCCAGGACTGAATAAGCCATGCTCGCCCGCCAGGCCTCTCTGACCCCTCATGTATCAAGCATCTTTTCCCTCCAGTGTGGGTCCGGTTGACCTACTGTCTGCCTAACTTAAGGGTCCTCACAATGGCTGCTGCTTTTTTTTAAGGGGGAAAGTGAAAAAAGGAAAGGAAATCCAAGCTAGTATATTTGTTTTATTTATTTTTTTTTTTTAAGAAGAAATAAAAGTTCATCTTCACAAGGTGCTTCAGACTTGGTTTTTTAACTAGGAACCAGAAGACTTCGGGAGAGATTATAAAGCAGAGAACTATGAGTCTAATTTTTTTACTGCTTTTCACTACATGCTCCCACAGTGGACAATCAGTTGAGGCAACCTACAGTGAAACATTTACAACCAGAGGGTTACAAATAATGTCAAAGAGAAGATCAGAAACCCTAAGAAATGACCATAGCTCCTGTTTACTGTGTGGACTTGCTAGATTTGAGGTACCTAGTTCAGAACTCACTAGTCACCATCTCCAAGCTTGTCAACGTCACTGCATATTGGAGGAGATGACTGTGGTGGGACCCAAGGAAGAGATGTGTGCCTGAACAGTGATCAGCGTATCTCCAAGTTTCCTGGAACCAGTGGGAACAGAGAAACCTGTGAGGCTGTAGGAACAGGGAAGCTCTTCCTTGGCACCTGGAGGAATTGACTCTTCTCTTCCTTCTGCAGAGATTGAGGAATGCAGCCATGCAAAGAAGACGAGTCCCCAGCTGGTAGAGAGAGAGGTCCTATCTCACCCCTAGGTGTTCATCCCAGCAGAAGAAAGAGAAAAGAAGGTGTTAGGGTAGGCTTCTTCAGAGGTTAGCCTGGTACTTGCTCATCAGACAGTAGCTTGAAATAAGAGGAAAATTATGTTTTGCTTTGCTTTTTCTACAAACCTTTAAAAATCACTCATTTTAGAAAAGAAAGTAAAAGTCCTTTTCATTCCTTTTGGACCCGTCCTTTTCTGTAATGGAAGAACTAAGTCTTAGGCGCCCAGGGACCAACCACTACGTTAGAATCTCCTGGGGAAGGGTAGAGGGCCTTGAGAAAGGTGCAGATACTTAAAGACTCGCTAAATCAGGCTTTAGGGGAAAGGGCCTGGGTGCCCAGAGTAACAACACCGCCAAATGCATGGGCAAAATACCCTTCCAGTTGATGGAGGCCCAAACTGGCTCTGAGGTGATTTTTACTGTGCCAGGGTGATGGTAATGGGTAGTTCATTGAAAGAAAATACAAGTAGTATGCACTTATAACTATGGAAATTATGAAATTAACACATCAGTAAGAAGGCTTTTTTTTGTTGTTTTGAGACAGAGTTTCATTCTTGTTGCCCAGGCTGGAAGGCAATGGCCTGATCTTGGCTCACTACAGCCTCTGCCTCCTAGGTTCAAGCAATTCTCATGCCTCAGCCTCCCAAGTAGCTAGAATTACAGGCATGAGGCATCACACGTGGCTAACTTTTTGTATTTTTAGTAGAGATGGTGTTTCACCATGTTGGCCAGGTGGTCTCAAATTTCTAGCCTCGGGTGATCCACTGCACCCAGCCAAGTAAGAAGACTTTTGGTGAAGGAGTAGAAAACCAAATTCAAATTGACTTAAGCAATAAAAGTTTGTTTATTTGTGGCTAGGTGCGGTGGCTCACGCCTGTAATCTCAGCACTTTGGGAGGCTGAGGCGGGTGGATCACTTGAGGTCGGGAGTTCGAGACCAGCCTGACCAACATGGAGAAACCCTGTCTCTACTAAAAATACAAAATTAACTGGGCGTGGTGGCACATGCCTGTAGTCCCAGCTACTTGGGAGACTGAGGCAGGAGAATTGCTTGAACCCAGGAGGTGGAGGCTGCAGAGAGCCCAAATCACACCATTGCACTCCAGCGCGGGCAACAAGAGCAAAACCTTATCTCCAAAAAAAAAAAAAAAAAAAGTTTTTATTAGTTATTGTGACTTAAAAGTCTAGAAATAAAGCATTGTGCAATCTCACAGTTCCACTATTTCTCTCACGGTCCAAGATGGCTGCCAACAGCTCCCAGGAATAGAAGGTCTTTTCTTATAACCACTGAATCAAATTTTGGGCTCTGGGCCAGCTGGACCACCCCTGAACCAATTCCTCTGGCCCAGGGAATACCGCATGCTCATTGACTTGGGATTCAGATACAAGACCAGTAACCATGATGCAGGGCAGGGAGGATGTGAGATTAACCAGAGTGGCTTAGAGCAGTCAGGTCCTGTCCCTGGAGCAGAAGTGATCTCATCCAAACCTCAAAGTCAGAGGGGGAAAGGGTATTGGAGAGAGAGCCACAATGTCAGCCACCTGCAGATGGGGCTCTGAAGTCCAGTGAAATCCAAGTGTGTAATGGCATCTTTTCACGGTCTGTTTGAAATGAAGATGGCATGTGCTGTCATGGTGTAATTAATCATTGGTATTGGCCCAGCACTGGACAATACAAAACTTATCCTTGATAACCACCCCACCCTTGCATCCCTATAGAAAATGTGTGCACAGAAGACACAAACCAAGGCAGTTACATTTGATTCTCAGTCTTTGGCTGGGCTTTGGCCCCATGTCCATGCATGACTGCATGGCAACTGGCTGTGTCCTTCAGAAACCTCCCTTACCTGAGTAGGCCCAAAGAGCTCAGAAACAAAGCCAGCCAAAGTGTCCACACTGTCTGCCTCCCCAAGCCCAAACCTGATTCCTTGGAGGCAGGGAGGAAAGGACAGGTTGCAGAAATGAGAACCAGCAGGAAGCCTTTGCCCCAGGGCCCACCCCAGCCTTCTTAGGCCTGGACAGAAGCCCCCAAGGGCTCACAGACCTTTGGGAGAAGAGAACATTTGGAAAGACAGCCAAATGAAACAAGAAAAGGGCCACACATCCTCAGTAGTCCAGGATGCAGTGTAGTAAATACTTAATACCCTTCATGAGAACTCTGCCTCCTGGAGCAGGTGACCCAAGCAAAATTTCAGAACTTTGGGAGATAAGTGGCAGCTGTAGAAGGTAGAATCGGAGTGGGTGGTTGGCAGCGGGGGACCAGGGAGGTTGATAAGGAATTCTTTTCTCGGACCCACCCATGAAGGCAAAATAGAGGAAGACAGGAGGCAGCTCTTGGGCTCCCCTTAGAGGCGTCTATGCATTCATTCACCAAGCACAGCGCCCCTATCCACACTGGACACTGTGCCGGGTACTGGAGGTGCAGTGCTGAGCGAGGGATGATGCCCCCCCCCACCCCGTCTCATGGAGTGTGAGCTTTTCACTAGAGGAGGCAAACATGAAGCACACTTAGATTCAGACCAAAGGAAGTTCCAGGGTGCTGTGTAGACCCATCTCTCCAAAGAACTTGAGCTCCCTGCTGCTGCCTTTAAACTGGGGGCCTCGGAGGAGCCAGCTGGGACTCAGAGCTATGCCAGGGGCCAGCCCACCCATCAAGGCCAAGCTTCTAAGTCAGAGGATGGTAAGCCTGGGAAAGACCCTGGAGATCCCCAGATCCCATGTATTCATTTCACAGATCCCACGTATTCATTTCACAGGTGAGGAATCCAAAGCCCAGAAAGAGGAAAAGGCATCATCCATATGAAACTAGCTGGTGTTTATGGAGCATCTGGGAGCTCCTGATGCTTGGGTTGAAGTAAGACACCCTCTTCTCACCACAGTGGGGGGTTTCCCCACCAGCCCTTATGCCCCAGGGCACCTAGGGTCTCCTGGGACTGCAAGCAACCCTTCTACAGCTCAGTTCTTCCACACCCTCACCCACAGAAAGGGCTGTGGGCCCTTCATGTGGGGCTGAAGTCTGAAGACCGGGACAGCAGCCCCAAGGGTGGAGAAGCGGCTGCTGAAGGGATCAGCGTGTGCTAGCACAGGAAGTCTATTTTCCATGTGTCTGGAACCAGGCTGAAGCTTCCAGGAGTAATTTTAACCAGTATCCACTCTAGAACAATACCAAAAAAGGTAAGTTACTTACCACCCGAGGCAGGCACATACCTAACCACTGGCCTTTTATGAATTAGACCCTTAAGACATTCAGGGCTAAAACTGCTTTAAGCACCAAAGTTAGAGCAGCCAAGCCATGTATTCCTGTCCTGGGCCGTTGGCCCTTTTACTGAAATTAACTCTAAAGTGCTAGCTATTCTTACCCTCAGAAAATACTCTGAGCCCCTCAGCTGTCTTGCTGGAGGGAAGGTATTTTTAGACCCTAGAACAGCTGATTTGGGATTTGCTGCAGGGGTTAGAGGGCCCAGGGGGAGGACTGAATTGCTAGGGGATGAAGGAGCAAGTGGGGAGTCGCATCCAGGGGACAAGAGTCGGCACGGGCTTTAGGGTGTATCAGGTATCAGGCCACATTGCCGTTTTCGGCTTTTTTCTGTTTTTTTGTTGTTGTTGTTTTTGTTTTTGTTTTTTTTTACAGAGTCTCACTCTATCACCCAGGGTAGAGTGCACTGGTGCAGTCATGACTGACTGCAGCCTCAGCCTCCCTAGGCTCAAGTGATCCTCCCACCTCAGCCTCCTTAACAGCTAGGACTACAGGCGCGTGCCACTATGCTGGGCTAATTTTTCTATTTTTTTGTAGATATGAGGTTTTGCCATGTTTCCCAGGCTGGTCTCAAATTCCTGAGGCGTAAGCAATCCCCCTGCTTCAGCTTCCCAAAGTGTGGTATTGCAGGAGTAAGCCACCACGCCCAGCACGCTGCCATTTTTGATCAGCAAAGTATCTTAATATAAGCCAGTAGTTCTCAAAGTGCAGTGACCAGACCAGCAGCATCACCATCACCTGGGAACAACTATTTATATATTATAAATGCAAGGAAAACAGTACAAAAAAAAAAAAAAAGCAAAGTATCAGCCTCCACCTGAATCAGAACCTCTAGTTGCGGGTTCCGGCAAGCTCGTCTAACAATCCCCCCGGGAGATTCTGATGCTCACTAAAGTTTGAGAATCACTGATAGCAGCAAACCATCGAATAAGATCCCCTTTTGGACAGGGCTGGAAGAAAGAATGATCTACATTGACACTTCTCAACTTATGAGTGTCTGTTCGAACCCAGGAATCCTCAGCTCAGAAAAAGTATATACTTGCAGAAAAATTTCAGGGACGCACTATCCCAGGTTAAAAACACCTGCTCTTTGGTAACCTGGAGGCCTTTCTTTTGGTCTAAGTCTGATCTGCAGAGAATCTCAAAGATGAAAAAGACTTTCTAGATCATCTGCTCCAACCAGAGCAGGGGTCTGCTCCAGAATATCTTTGAGAGGCTTGGTTTTAACATGACACTTCGGAGATGGGGAGCTCCCCACTTCAAAAGAGCTTGTTTCCAGTCACCCTTAAGTGGGTAGAGTTATTGGCTCTTGTTAACTCCTATATTGGTTTATAGCAACCAAGCCACATTAACGTGGCTGAAACATAGACTTAGAAACCCAAATTAAAGGAAACACAGGGGCCGGGTGTGGTGGCTCACGCCTATAATCCCAACACTTTGGGAGGCCGAGGTGGACAGAAGTCTGATCTGCAGAGAGGCCCAGGAGTTGAAGATCAGCCTGGGCAACATGGGGAAACCCTGCATCTACAAAAAATACAAAAATTAGCTTGGTGTAGTGGCACAAGCCTATAGTCCCAGCTACTTGGGAGGCTGAGGTAGGAAGATCACTTGAGCCTGGAGAGGTTGATGCTGCAGTGAGCTGTGACTGGGCCACTGTGACTGGCCAGCTGTGACTGGCCCAGCTATGACTGGGCCACCCTGGGCAACAGAGTGAGACCTTGCCTCAAAATTAAATAAAGGAAACACACAACGGCCCTAAGTGGTAGAAGTGAACACATTATTGTCTAATAGGCCATCTCAGTGTTGGAGAAATCAGAGTAATGGAAAAATACCCCTTTATATTAATCTGAAATCTACCTCCCAGGAACCTCCTACCCTGACCCTGTTTTTGACTTCAAAGCCACAAGAAGCGAAGCCACAA